CCATACATATTATACTGTGCAGTACTATATATTCCACACAGTGCTACATTTTCCTACCATGCGGTTATTGGAAGTTGTAGCACTGGCGGTGCCTTTGATCCGCCCACGCACCATACTACAAATGAAGGCACTGAGTTCCATAGCAACATATTTTCATTAATTTATTGAAGATGAGGTTTGAATGATTGATAAAGGAGAAAGATTGTACTGGATATAACAATTTTTATGCTGTGACAGTAGGACAGACATCTGAATGACAGAAGGAAAGTGGGGACTATTACACTGTACTTACTATTACTGACATGCATCTACAAGGATGTCTAAGAATGCTGGCTATACTACACTTGCCAAACTAAATATGTCATACATGCAGCAGTCAGCCTCCAATGTCTACAGTCTACACTAACTGCAACATTCTTAAATGGATGATTAACAACACTCAACAATAGATCATGTAAAAATTTCCTCTTTCATACGCTAAACAACTCACCCAATATCCACAGTCTATTAGTGATGGATCATGGTACATTGTTCTTCTTACTGTTAGTGTTACTGACAGTTTCTACTGAAGGATCTTATCATATGTCTACTGACTGTACTAATACTGGATCATATCAACATGGTGGACTAGGACTGTATCTAAGAGTATGCTGTAATATTAGTAACTTAGGACAGTCTGTTACTATCAGAGACCCTGGTATTTATAGATACATTCTCTGTCCTAAAGTACTACCAAAGTCCTGTCCTAAGGAACCACAAAAGTCTTGTCCTAGTGTAGTACAATCAAACTCTACTCAAGGTACATATACTGTAACGTTAGTAGGTCAAACATGGTGTATATACACAAAAGCTAGCTATAGTACAGTACTGAGGTGACTAGTTATTTATAGCATGTCAGTGCCTCAGTGGTACAGTATCTATTCAATAGAAATTGTTATTGTGCTGTTATCTCACATGATCTTAAATTCCTCTATGCATTATAGCTCCTCGAGACTGCAAGGATTGGTACAATAATGGTAGCACTACTAGTGGTGTTTATACTGTTAATCCTGATGGAGGGACTCCATTTAATGTTAGC